AACTTTAACTTTAACAGATCAGGAGTACACCTGTGCATGTGCACCACAAACTCAACGTGCATGTTTCAGACGATCTTTGTCCTTGACTCTATCCATGTGTTTACTCCAAAGCAAGACGAGTTTCACCATCATGAAGTTACCTTGTAAATGTCCAACAGTGTACAGATTTGTCATCTCTCTCTCTCCCTTTTTACTCTTTCTCTTGTTCTATCCCCTCTCCCCTCCCCCTCTCTTTCTCTCTCTCTCTCTCTCCCTCTCTCTTCTCTATCTCTCTTTCTCTTCTCTCCCCTGTACTTTTGCTAAAATTCCTACTTGTGCACATACATTGCCAATACATAGATTTCATACTGTATCTAAGTTATCGGTAATCAATTATGCCACAAAATAATAATGTACTGGATTGTCTAAACATAATATGATCTAGCCACACTGTCACTATATCAATGGCACTGAATGTAAGAGTTTGATAAATGATATTGGATAAGTAATAAAATGCAGTAAGTAGGTAGATAAGTAATTACTATCAATGATATAAATAGTAATATTAATGATTATAATAATAATAAGCTCATTTGGTTAATAATCTTTCGGATAATATTAATTTCTAAGATGACGATGTTATGTATGTATTTGATTTCATTATGTGTATGTTTATATTGTATTACTTGTATCAACCAGCGGAATTCAAATTTCCTGATATGGACAAATTTCAACAGAAGTCAGGATTATAAATTGAATAAAGAATGGAAGATTTAAATATACCTTCTGTATCTCTGATCTCTTTGTATGATGTGAAATATATAGGAGAGACATGGGAAGACGATGAGAGAGAGAGAGAGAGAGAGAGGGAGGGAGGAAGGGAGAGGGAGAGATGAGAGAAACTGATTAATAGTGATTAAGAGAAAAACAAAAGAGAGGAGCAAAAAGCGAGATGTTAAAGGTAAAGACCAGTTATGGTCATGCGATTGCATTGTGAAAGAAACGTTGTGGAATCAATCAGAAAAGGTTGATCATCTAGCATCTAGCATCTGCAAGGTTCTGGAATCATCAAAAGGATAAGAAATTTAGCCCATTCTTCGTAAAGTTACAAGCACTATACACAGAAAGATGTATATGGGACTACCCTATATCTCTCACAGTCCATGAGAAAAACAAATTTACCAAATATATGAATTAGTAGGCGGTTTCCCGGCAAATTTTTTATCATGTATTAGTCAAAACATATTCTTTCACATGATTGGTAATGAGAGCTTGCATTTCATTTTTTGAAATTGGGGCGTTTCCAATACTGGTCTTTACCTTTAAGAAAATTTTAAAACATGAGTGAGAGAGGAGTTTTTTTTAAAGGGGGGGGGGCGTGGGAAACGGTGATAGCTAGATGACTTTGGAGGGAGACTGAATGAGAAGATAGAGAAAGGAAAGGAGGATCACAAATAAGGAGATAGAGCGGGGTGAGAGGGAGAGCAATGCTGAAGAGAGATACGAGGAAGGGTGATGAAGGAAGAGGGGGTTCGGGGATGGGGGCAAATATAGAGAGATAATGGAGATGGATGATAGGGGGGGGGGTGAGAGAGAACGAGCAGGAGAAGCGGTAATAGAGTGATTGGTGATATAGAGAGGTAAGAAACATTAATTATTGTAAAAAGACTGAGAGGAAAGGGAGCAGAAATATGGAGGAATGAAACATGAGCTAGAGAGAGAGAGAGAGAGAGAGAAGACACTAATGGGATTGAAGAGAGAATGGAAAGATTAAGAGGAAGAGAGAGAGAGAGAGAGATGTCGGATACAAAAATAAATGGATAAAAGAAGGAAGGGATGGTAATATATATATAGATATATAATTTTTTATACTAGGGATGCATGCAGAGTGACTAAGAAATGATAGAAATAGAGATAGATCGATAGAGACGGAGAGAAAGTGAGAGAGAGGGCCGGGGATCGGGGGGGGGGGGGAGGGGCAGAAATGAGGGAGACACATACCGGGACACGGAAGTAAACGGAATAGTGGAGGAATGAGAGAGAGAGAGGGGGGGGGGGTAAGAAAGATGAATAGAGACCGAGAAAATACGTAGGAAGAGAAAGAGAGGGGGAGGGGTTAGAGTTAAAGATAGTGAAAGAGAAAGGAAGAGAGAAAGAGAGAGAGAAAACATTTTAAAAAGACAGGGAAGCAGTGAGTGGCATTGTAAATGAGCATTATATTTCTTATTTCATCATTAACCCTCAAAAACGCATTTTTTAATGGATTTATCATTTTATTCATAACAAATTTCACTAACTGGTAGCCGATATAGGCTGCATAGCCCTTTGAAGATTAACAGAACAATTGGAAGAAGAAGCACCTCAGCCATGGGCGTATACGGCCATATTTTCACTAGGGGCGGATGAGGCCTCTTGCCACTAGAAAGATAACTTAGGGGAGGGGGGGGGGGGGGTTGAGCCCAAACCCTTTTAGAACCGCTTCTAATATGTTTCTATTTAGAACCAATGCGTAGTCTCAATAAATGTACTAACTTTTCTAAGAGTACACTGATGAATACTTCAATTCATTATGCAACTAAACATAATAACTAACACTTCATATTTATCCCCCCACGTTATTGTTTGGGGAAAACCCTTTAAATTCCCCCAAAACAATTTACACCTACTTTTGAGACTCACTGTTCAATAAAATTGAAAAAAACATTTTTTTGTTATGCTCTCTTAAAGACAAGTTTATAGAACAAAGGTTTTTTTCTTGGGAACCACTAATACGGATGGGGTCCACAGACCTGTTATAGTGCCCCGTCAGCTTGCAGAGGCAAGCCCGAGGGTCGAGGGGCGGAGCCCCCGGACGCGCTCAAGTTTTAGTTATTCAGAACCTTCCAGATAGCCGTCTGCGGTAGAAACACACCCTAGCTCTCTCCTAACAACAATTTTATAGAACGTACAACAGGTTGTTTTGAGGTCCAGGGGCCCGCCTTAGAGCCCCTGCCGGGGCAGAGCCTTTGCTAGGGAGCCTCGAAGTTCTTCAGTTTTTAACAATTTATTTTAGAACCTTTAAGATGGCTGGCACGAGTGATAGAAATTGTAATTTTCTCCTTGAAATTAACTAGCCTTTATCATTTCATTTTTAGAAAAAATGATCTCTCTCTCTCTCTTAAAAAAAAAACTATTTTGCATAAATTATATTAACTGTGTTTTGTACTGTTTTATTTTCCTCCGAAGTCTTCGTAGGCCCATGTCAAGTAAACTCAACGAAGGAAATCTATATGTGTAAATTTAGGTTTAATGTTTTTATTTCCTGTTCTCTCTCTCTCTCTCCCCCCCCCCCTCTCTCTCTCTCTCTCTCTCTCTTCCTCCCCTCTCCCCCTCTCCCTCCTTCTCTCTCTCTCTCTCTCTCTCCTTCTCTCTCTCCCCTCTCTCTCTCTCTCTCTCGTATATATCTCTCTGTGTTTCTCTCACTCTCTCTATACCTCTCTTTCATTTTCATCTCTTCTCCTCTTAACCTTCTTTTCTATTTTTTATTTCCGTCGCTCTCTTCCCCCTTTCCAGGCCGCCGAAAAGGAGTGCATGGCCGAATCGCCCCCTGGATCCGGCACTGACATGACAACAATCGTTATTGGAGACCCTGAAAACTGTCTCACTAATGACCGATTTCAATCTATAGCTATAGTGTTAAAAAAAAAAAGGGAAAAGACAAAAGGAAAGCTAGCCTATGAGACGGTGCAGATGAAGTGCTCTGATGAAAGAGACTTTCTGTCATAATACCAGATCATGCAACAATAATGATTATAATATTATGATAATTGTGATTTACAGCGTACTTGTTCCACACCACACTAGCAGAAGACTGAACTGAACTGAACTTTCTACACTATTATAGCTGTGTAACCCGCACTTCGCTGAGATAGGTGAGCCAAGTCATGACTCGAAAACAGAAGTCTGGAAAGACAGACCCCCCCCCCCCCCTCCATCAGTAAAAGTGAGCCATGAGATCAAGTTCGATGCTGCATTAAAGAAGGAACGCCGTGGCGTAGATAATCTGTCAAAATTGAAGAGCGCCATCTAAACCCCAACAACAACATTGCTGAAAAGAGCCGGGGATTCCCCTCATTCATTCGCGCGCTCAGTGACCCACCGAACTGTACAGTCGCCATTGTATGTGCACATGCACGTCCTGTACTGCCACGCCACCTCGCCTAGCTTTCGAGTTCGATTCAGTGATTGATCTTAGTAAATTTGAGGATCTTTCTTCAGTTTCAGTAGATTTAGATTGAAGTCGCTCTGTAGACGAAATGCTACTTTTGTAAACTGAAGTGAAACAAGGTTAGTGTATTTACTATGATCTACATAGGTCTAGGGTCGTTCTAGATCTAAATCTACCTTGTTGTTCCTTGTTGTTGTTGTTGTTGTGTTTTGAGTTATTGGCGATTAGTCAATAATTGTGTTGTCGTATGTTGTCGTATGGTGAAGTGTGCATGACGTCATCAAATATCTATTTTTAGAATTTCTCAATTTTTTTTCGTATTAAATGAAAGCAAATTTAATATGCATAAATCTTTGTTAGAAGCATTTCATTCACCTGTTACAAATAATTGTACTTCAATAGTCAGAATGCAAATTGCATGTAGACCGTATTCCATGATGTTGTTAGGTAGTCTAGGACAAGAAATCATGTTTGTCCTACCTACATGTAGCAACAACTAATGTTTGCAATTCACATTCTGATTATTGAAATAAAATTATTATAACGAGGCACTTAACAAAGATTTATGCATTAATTTGATTCCATTCCTGTGCCTCTTCTTGCAGCTGCTGGGCCGAGGGGCCTTGAATGCACTCCTGGGATCTCTATAAATATGGTGCAATACATGATGTTGCTCATTGCATGCTCGGAAAGAAACCTGCATGTGTGCCCTGATTGTCTACTAAAAAACAAAATCACAACATCATTGTTTTCTGCCCAAATATAGCATTTCGTGAATATTAACCCTGCGAGGCACAGCTTCTTGGCTGGTCCCAGCCATTCATTCCAAAGGACGGGTTTCAGGAGGCATGGGCGAAAAAGTTTATGGTGTTGAAGTAAAGCACCCAAAACCTTAAGCTATTATAGATGTAGTGAATTGAAACTCTCAGGGATAGTTATTCCATCTGTTTTGTATACCTAATATTTATATTTTTGAATGTTTTTTTCAGATACTGTCGTCCATGTGATATCACCATTTTCCAGAGGACTAAATCTCTGTCGAGTGAGAAGGATATCTTACACCATGGATGGATTCTGCCTTCTCTATCTGCTCCTGATCCTCTTGATGAGATCTGGTGACGTTGAAACCAATCCAGGTCCTAACACTGCAGCAAGGTATGCATATACTAGTAGCACCTTCAGGGTTAACAATGACGTTGAGTTCTGGGCCCTGTTTCATTAATCTTGTTATCATAACAAGTTACAATAACTGTTATAAGCTACTAGAATAAGCCAGTTCACGGTTGCAGTCTGAGCATGAGCAGATAAATGTCATTGCAGAATAAATTGTGAAAAATACGGAGACGAAATACCGGATATGTGCTCATGAAATTATGTAATCATTATTCATTCATGCACAAGCAGTGCACTCCAGGATACACAGGTGGAATTATTCTTTTAAAAAGGGGGAAACAAAGGCTATTTATGTAGCACCTCCATCGCTGTAGGAGTGATTATTTCAAAATGTACAAAGTACGTGGGACCTCTTCATGTTTTGAAGATCTGTGGATATTCGGGGCCATTGCAGAGATGTGCTAACCGTGAACTGGTCTATTGTGGCATTTGTTCTGCTGAGAGCCTAAGATCAGGAATGTCATAGAAATTTAGCATTTTTGATTGATAACAAGTTTTATGAAACAGGGACCTATAGGTCCATGATTGCTTTGCAAAAGAAATGGTGTGGAAGCGATAGGAAAGGTTGATCATGTAGCACATAAGTATACTTTGAGGTATTGGAGTTGTCAGAATGATAATTTTGCCCAGTCTTGCTAAAAGTCATATGTACTAGCTGGACACAGAAATGTGTACCGTATTTGGGACTCCACAAACATGGCGGCAGGAAAGTGCATGTGGTCAAAAACAAAATATTTGTCATTTTTTAATAATGAGGGCATTTGAAGAGCTGTTTTTTTCAGGGAAGATTTTGTTCTATGATACTCTTCCATACTAACATAAAAATGTGAAAAAACTCACAATTTTTTTCTTCACCTTTCCCAGAACTCAACCTTCTTAAACAAGGCAAACCACACAACGTGGTCAATTGTCATGAATGAGTCAATGTGACACTTAAAATCATCATGTTATAGAACAAACTTATAGTGATTCTGCATGATATAGATTATGATGATGAAGGTAATAATAATGAGAATAATAACAATAATGATGATGATAATAATAATCATAATCATCATCATCAATTGTTGTGATGATAATACATGTAAACATCATTATTTTGACAAGTACGTGTAGTAGTTATCCTTTTCTTCTTATTATTATCATCATATCATTATTGTATGTACCGATACTGCCTAACTCTGCTTTAAAAAAAAAATGATTACCCTTGTCAGAACAATACTGCCCTGACCTGCAACTTGGGGCAATATGTTTCAAATGTTAATATCACAGGCATTATATTCTAATATCCCTAGGCTGTTTTATATTGCATGCTCGAGCACGTATGTAATACAAATTGTTGAGTATCACATTATATTTTCTCAGGCAATTTCTCTAACTAATATCCTATTGTACCCAATTGATTTATTACTCATTTTACAGTACTGTCAGTGACATGGAGTTCCTGAAGCTGGCCAAGGATATCCAACCATCTTACTACAACGCTGTAGGGACATCTCTAGGTTTCTCCTATGCTCAGCTAGAGAACATCCTGATTCAGAAGTCAAATAGCCATACCAACGCATTTTTTGATGTATTCATGAAATGGAATGTCATGCAGCAACCTCCACACTCAAACAAACGGCAGCTTTTGGCAGACAAACTACGAGAGATTGACTTGGGTGGCTTATCAGACAGATTACTCAATGAACCAAAAAGCACAGGTAAACAGATACTAATTATTGCAGTCTTGCTATGTCAACAGAAGATATAGAAAACCATGCATGAAAGTAAAGTCAGTTTTTACCATCTAGATAAAGTGAATGATGTTCTGTGTTCTATACATGTACATTTGCCACAATTTACAGAAGTGTCAAATATTTCAGGCCCCATGTATGTTTTTATAATTTACTAATTTAACTTTGTTAATTTTAGATATTTTCTGTACACCAGTATAGTACAAGTTCTTTGAATGACGGCAGAATTTAATGTTTGTCAGCTTTCTTTATGTGTACATGATCTACAAACAAATTATATTCTTTTGAGTCATCTCATTATGATAACTATAATTATGCATCTGCCCATGCACGGATGCATAGTTGACTTCATGACTTCATACAAATCCAGACAAACATGTAGGACTTTCTTTACATGAGTGCATGCACCTAGTTGTAGGTCACACTATTGGCCTCATGTCTTTAAAATCTTTTCAGATGTATCAAAATACATGTTTATGTGTAATCATGTGAATATGGATTATCTATGTATTTTTAGGAGGGCCATCAAGAATGCTCGAATCACAGACCAAACCTCCTTCAGCTGGATCTCAGACCAAACCACTTTCTCCTGAACTGGTTGAGCGGTGTGCAAATGATTTCAAGTTCAAGTACAGGTCAACTGTCTGTAAGATCAGAGCTGATCCTCTCAATCCTGCTTCCACTGTGCAGTTTCAAGACATGTATACTAATCTTGTCTTACTAGAAGAACATAGGACAGAGAAACGAATGCTAGATTACAATGATATCCTTGATCTCAAAGTCAATGGAGAGTTCCCCAAGCGGATCATGGTTCAGGGAGAGGCAGGGGCTGGAAAAACTACATTTTGTGCTAAGATTGCCTGGGACTGGATTGAAGGGAGGCATTTCAGTCACTTTGTGTGGGTCTTGATTGTTCCTCTACGTGAATTCAAGCAACACACTATTGGCAAGATTGTAAAGTCTTATCTGGCCAAAGACAATCCAGCAACGGTTTCTCAGATTACTGAGTATATCCAGTCAAATCCTGACAAGGTATTCATCGCATTTGATGGGCTAGACGAAGTCAGTGGCGAAATCATGAAGTCAAAATCCTGCGAATCACAGTCTACTGATCAAATGCAACTTCAGCCATCACAGCCAAGTGTCAAATCTTCAGAGGCATGTGGAAGCTTATCTGAGACTGGTGATATTGGACTTGTAGATATTCTTTGTTCCGATCAACTTGCCTCTTGCCCTGTCTTGGTTACCACTCGCCCATGGAGAGCAGTAGAGATTAGATCAGATGGTGATCTAATGAAGCTCTACACATTCATTCATGTTGAGGGTTTCAACCGAGAGAATTTGTCAGTTTACATTCACAAATACTTTCCAAAGAATGAGGATAAAGCAAATCAGCTTATCCAGTTCACCCGTGAGAATGATGTCATATATGAAAACATGGCCCACTTTCCTATATATGTAGCCATGTTGTGTCTTATGTGGAAAGAACTTGGTGAGCAAAAACTAAAGGAAATGAAATCACTGAAAACTTTTTCCCAAATATTCAAAACAATGATTGCCTTTCTAAAAGAACATTATGCTCAGAAAGAGGTGAAGAAAGTAGGCAGCCCCTCACTTCTTGCCTTTTTGAAAAAAATTGATGAGCTCCTTATACCAATTGCCAAACAGGCCCTCAATGGTCTGCTAGAAAATACCTTAGTTTTCGGTACAGATGATTTCGAAATATGCCCAGAATCCAAGGACACTGCCTGTAGGGTTGGGATTTTGTCTCAGGAGGACAGAATTACCCCTAGCATGGACATGCATAAAGGGAATTCTTATGTGCAATTGCCAGTCTTCTTCCCTCACAAACTGTTTCAGGAGTACATGGCTGGAGTCCATCTTGCTTCCCTGTATGAATCAGATCGTAATGAATTCAAGAGGCTGATTGAGCAAGTAGTGCTGCCAAGGAAGGGGGAGTTTAGGTATCTACTGTACTTCACTGTGTCACAGAACAAAAGTATTGCAACCCATGTAATGAAGTCTATGCTTCAGGGAAAAAACAGGGATTCATTGGCCATAGGTAAAGAGTTACCTTTCATTGTTGATGTAGCCTTTGAGAGTCAGGACCGAGATGTAGCGGCCGTGGTGAAGGACAGGGTTTCATCAGAGGAGATTAAGCTGACCATAGACACATTGACGACAGCACACACTGTAGCTGGTTATGCATTCATTGGACCACATGTGGTAAGTTTGATCACAGTTTGATGAACAAAATTAGTTCATCCATTTCCTTACATTACATCTTTTTGCAATTTTCTTAATACTGTACTAGAATATAATTATGGAAGGGTGCATCAAGGAGGTTTACACAGTGATAATTTTAAAACTTAAACTGCAATCAGTGATGATATACATGTATGCATTGATGACTGTATTTCTATTTCTTTGAGCAGATAAATAAACTGAGCAATTAGAACGATGATCCTATGTACAATGAACACAACACGCAACAAGGCATATGTCATTACCCACATATTGTTTTCCATACCAATTACATGACGCATACATGTAGAGCGATACATTGTAATGCAGGATATAAAATGGCATCTAAAACGTACTGCTTGACAGATTTTCGAAATTGGGCTATGAGATATGCCCCGAGTCTGGCCACCCAGAAAATTCTTGTCAATACAATTTCAAGATAAAGAAAAAACCGAAAAGGGGCGAAAATCAGTCTGAAAATTGATGTCATAGCCGAAACCCTGCGTAATCCCAATTGTAACTTGCTCCCAATTTCGATTTACTCAAAATGTTCTTAGTGAAACTATACTGCATGTGTATAGAACCATTTGATGGGGCATTCCATTGTGGTACTACAAGCATTTCACGCATTGTTATGTGATGCATAGCAAATTCAGCATTTTACTAGTGATGATCGACGTCATGAAATTTTACCAACTGAGTTGGCATCCGGTTGTCAAGTAGTTTGATACACGATTACACATGTCTGCTAAGTTTCATAGACCTAGGTATAAAGTTCGCAAATTGCACACATATATATATATATTATGTTGAAGTTTTTAAGGAATTATCCTGAAAAGTATGGTTTTCGAGAGCAATTTTTCTCAAGTCGGTCAGTGGTAGGACAATTTTTTTTTTTTGCTGAAAATTGTTTATCTTGAAGTATCTAAATCCAAAAAAGGGTACTGATAAAGCTAGGCATGATAAAGGTACATGTATGGCCCTATAAACATCCATTGTCAGAACTTTAGAGGATGCTATTCATATCATGCATTACTATATTGTTGTGTGAAATTCAGCAGAAATATGTGCAATGCAAAGATAAAGATGCTGTAAAAAATTCAGACAGAAATCCACCATATTAATTTAGTGATCGTATTCCTAATAACATTTATAAATGATTAAGGTACATGTATGATCGAGGCACCATCGAGGCGATTGTTGAAAAAGTGGATTTCGGCCTTATATTGAGCGTATGAAGATTGCATTTTGAAGGACCAATTGTATATTTAAGATTGAGAGCAACTCTTGCACTGTTTAGAGTAATTTGTTAGAAGTCTGTAGCATCTAGGACAGGGGAGATAGGGAGGCTGAAAGAAAGGCATGTAAACAGTCCTGAAACGGTCAAAATGGCGCCTGGACGAAGTTCAGCAGCTAGTGCAGACGGTGAGATGGTAAAGCTGCATACAAAATCTAAAAGGAATTGGGATAGAGAAAAGGACCTAATTAGGAATAACAAGCACTAGCTGCATGCAAAACAATGTGATTTGGGTGGAAGAGGAATAAGAAAAAGATTTCAGAACACGCAAATTGATATCGGACAATGACGAGGACGTCAATTCAATTACATTATTATGTAATACTGTATGTACTGGCACATGCATACACATTGCATCTATACCTTTTAGATGAGATAAGATTTGGGGACAGGAAACTTCATAAATAGTTTGCACATTTTCATCCCTTCCAAAAAAATATCTCTTGTCTAATTGAAATCACAATTCTTGATTTATAAATGTTTAAAAGGGCACAAAGGAATCTTTTTGATATTCTTGGCCCTGTGTAAAATTGTTGTTATTGATATTGCAACTCTTAACATAAATGTACATGATTAATTTTGACCAATTCATCCTATCTCCTGCTTCACTCTCCCTTGGTAAAACTGAATGCATGTATGTGCTCATGCAGGGGGTATCAACATTCGTTCTTCTTTTCTCCTTTGCTAGCCAAGATTTTTGCTCTGTATCCACCCTTTCAATTTAGTAATCGTGTTTCTATTAACATATATAAATGATTAAGGTTTGATGGAGGCACCAGATGATGTTGACTTTTAAAATAATCTCCTTTGAAACCTGTTCTGATACTTCTTTCAAACTGGCTTCTATCGGAGTCACACCGATGAAAATACTGATTTAATTTTCCTGATGTAATTAACAAAGGTGAAACCGCCGTTTTCCCTGCTGTCGCTTTCATACTGCCGGTGAAATACACTCGCTGTGGCGGGCCCTTCCTGGAAGTGAAGAAGTATTACGTAATTATTAAGCCTGTGCCCCATCTAGCTGGCATGCAGCATGTTCAACAAAAAGTCAACAAACACAGCTGGTTACAATAAAGCGCGCGTACTCTGCGACGTTAGGCCATTTTAATCGCTGTTTTAATCGCTGTTTTCTCCCGAACGCATTCACAGTGGCTGTTTCATCGGTTTCACACGGATAGAATGAGAATTTGTCCTGCTCTTGAGCAGGAGAATTTAATCGCCTATTTCTCTTCTTTTTATCGGCTTTTTCTCCTCTGTAGCATTCATAGTGGCCATTTCATCGGATGCATCCAATGAAAATCAGGCCAGTTTGAAAGGGGTATTAGATTTTGTTTAAGGATTCTCTGTTTATTACATGGTAAACTAAGATGAGATATTCCTACTGTCGCAAAAATAAGAATTTGATATGAATTCAATTTAGTTACTTATTCTAAATTATGAATCAAATTTTAGTCTGCATGTTGACCTATCAAATTTGTTGGGGGACGGGTTGGTGTTTTTTGGTGTTACCTACATGTATGTTCAAGACAAATGTACTATTCTGTATCCATTTGTATCTTATTGATGTTTATAATCTGTAATCTTGTACTACATGCAAACGGAACAAATTTCCAATCATTGGACAATAAATTTTGAATTTGAAATGTCATGGCAGTACTTCTTCAGTCTGTGCCCTTAGTTATTCACATTTCCCTCTCACTCTCTGTAGTTCTAGCAGCACATAATGATTTAGGGCAACCGCTCATGTAGGTTACTCATGTATGGCTTACATCCAAGTGAACATCTATATTCTGCATCCCATTAGTTATCACTTTGTCATTATTTTCCAGGTTGAACTCCATATTAAGAGAAATTGTGGACCTACTATGTCACTTGATGTGGCAGAGATGATATGCTCCATGCCAGCCTTGAAGGAAGTTTCTGTTTTTGATTCCAAATTACATCTTCATTTTTTTGAAACACTTGCAAGGAGAGGAAAAGAATCAAAGGTGAGCAGTTCACTCACAAGTTTGATGTATGTGTGTGATTTGAATTTAATTTCATTCCATAATTACCATCTCTTCCCTTTCTAATCTTAATTTCACTTTTCTTTAATTCCTTTGAAGATGATCTTTTCACGAAGGCGGCAGCAGTGTTAACAAAAGCTTTTTAGTGTGAATACTAACCGTGGAAACTTAGCGGGTTAGCATGAAGCACCATGTAAATAGTTGTTTTCTTTAATATACAACTTGAATGCGAAAATAAACTCACATAAATTTTGTAGGAAGATAACAACATTCTTAAAGGGGAAGTCCACCTTGATATTAAGTTGATTTTAATAAAAGCAGAAAAATAAGAGAAACATATAAGTGAAAGTTTGAACGATATCTGATTAAAGATTTGAAAGTTATACATTTTTATGTTGTCATCAGTAGAACACATATTTGCAATACTGTGATGTATCTTGTAAGCTCCTCTACAATTTGCTCTTTGCAGAAAATTCACAAACCTTAATTTCCTTAGTTATTGATGACGGAATAGATTTGTTTATACAGGGGTTGCATAACAAGTTATTTGTAGTATTTACATTTAGGATGATTGTATGATTGAAACATTTCATACGGGAAATCATAAATTTTTAAAAGTATTTTATTACAGGGTCAAAGGGAGGGGACTTTGCAAGATACGTCACAGAGTTGCCGATTTGTTTTTCATTGAGCTTTATGAAAGAAAAAAATAGAAAGCACATGTAGTAAAACATAGGGTAGATAACAATAATAAACTATTTTTTAGATGAATACAAAATCTCATTGTAGGCTACAATCAATGGGAAGAAATAAGAAGGGAGAGTGATTCTTGCCTTTTTTTTTTTGGACTCTGATGCCTTTTAGTATTGGTCACATTCGCATTTGCAAGAAGAGAATTTGCATCATCCTTACAACTTAGGATTGAGGAACATGTTTTTGGCATGTACTGAAAGTCATATGTATATGTATTTCTTAATTTTAGAAATGTTATCTTGGTGAAAGTTAAGCGTTTATTATTATCATTATCACCAAAGGTGCTGCCGGAGGCTTTTTGTTTTGGGTCTGTCCGTCCGTCCGACCCACTTTCTTGTTAACGTGATATCTCAAGAACCACTTGAGATGTGAACTTTAAACTTCATGATAGTATATATCACTATAGGAAGACAATCTCATCAGAATTTGGAGTAAATAGGTCAAAGGTCAGTTTCACAAAGGTCAACTTATGAAATTCCAGAAAATAGCACATGTATTTGCTAGTAGATTCTGGCCCCTCTATGGAATTTACAAAATGGAAGATGTTAAATTTTACATCACATAACACAAGATACAATTAAAAGATATACAATAATTAGATAAATACAGAGGAGTATATTATTAGTGTCCATGGGTAGCAGGGTTTGCACAAGCGCGTAGCCAGGATTTCATTTTAGGGGGGGGGGGCTGTAGTGAGCACGCGAAGCGCGGAAGCTTTGAAAGAAGACGATTCGTTGTACCTTTCTCGACTCCTAATCCTTGTCTGAATTCAGTCCGCCCTTCCTGCGCATAGCGCGGAAGCTTTGACGTATTATTAGACAAAGAAGACGATTCGTTGTACCTTTCTCGACCCTTAATTCTTATCTGTATTCAGTCCCCCTCACGCGTGAAGCGCGGAAGTTTTGACCTTCCATTAATTTATTAGAGAAAGAAGACGACTCGAAGTACCGTTCTCGACTCTTAATCTTTGTCTGAATTCAGTCCTCCCCCCTCCTCCTGCGCGAAGCGCGGAAGCTTTGACGTATTATTAGACAAAGAAGACGATTTGTTGTACCTTTCCCGACCCTTAATCCTTATATGTATTCAGTCCCCCTCTTTCGAAGCGCGGAAGCTTTGACGTTTCATTAAATTATTAGAGAAAGAAGACGATTCGTTGTACCTTTCTCGACCCTTAATTCTTATCTGTATTCAGTCCCCCTCACGCGCGAAGCGCGGAAGTTTTGACGTTCCATTAATTTATTAGAGAAAGAAGACGACTCGAAGTACCGTTCTCGACTCTTAATCCTTGTCTGAATTCAGTCCCTCCCCCCTCCTCCTGCGCGAAGCGCGGAAGCTTTGACGTATTATTAGACAAAGAAGACGATTGTACCTTTCCCGACCCTTAATCCTTATATGTATTTAGTCCCCCTCTTTCGAAGCACGGAAGCTTTGACATTTCATTAAATTATTAGAGAAAGAAGACGATTCGTTGTACCGTTCTCGACTCCTTTCCCTTTTTCTTCCTACGTCTTCTTACTTTTTTTCTTCTCTTTCTCTCTCTTTTTATTTTTTTCGGCCAGCGTTTTGGCGGGGGGCGACCGCCCCCACCTCCCCCCCTGGCTACGCGCCTGGGTTTGCACAATTTAAATCACTTCCATGGACTGTATCTGGACAACTGCATTATACCCCTTGGAAAATTTACCCCCCTCCCTGGCAACTACCAAGGACAATTTATTTGGTGTAAAAGTGTGAGAGGTACATATCAGAGGTAAAATGCCAGGGCTATAACAAAAATGAGGTGAAAATTCTGCTTATCAATCAAGTTTGATCTGTTTCTATTTTGCTTTCACATATTATTTTCCTAGGTCAATTATAAAGGTACTGTGAATTAAGCATACTAATCCAACAAAGATCACTGCACTAGATGTCAAAATGTCCATGTCACCACCCCCCCCCCCCCTCTTCTACTTTTAACTATGCAATGTGGGGCGCTATGTACGTGACACATGTATGATTTCATCACAAAATCAATCTCACATAGTGATTTTGTCCATGGAATCAAACCTTCAAGTGATTCTGTCTATGGAATCACTACTGACATTGATTTTGTCAAACCATGAAGTGATTTTTTTTAAATTCTTGTATCCGAACTAAACAAGGCACTCCCAGATTATTAGGATGTGTATGATCAGTTAGACATACATTTGAAATGCTTGAATTTATCTAGAAGATAGGTAGAAGATGTTTTGATGCCAACTTAATTGTTTCATTGATATTTAAACTCATAACTATTAAATATTGAAAAATAATCCATCCTCTATGAATATTAGATTTCGTTGTGATTACCATCGGTTTTATTGTTACTTCTCTTGCCTGCACTATGTAATGAATTGTCAAGTATTTCTGTTAAAACTTTCAAACAATTTACTTCTATACCTTCGTCCTTTCTCTCTCTGTCTCTCTGTCTCTCTCTCTATGTCTTTTTTTCTCTACCTCTTCTCCCCATCTTCTCTCATCATAATGATATTTCAATACTGGATTATTTGATGAGACCATGAATTCACTCTTTATTGTTCTTGCCTTGATTTTTGTTTTAAATGAGTAGAATGTACATGTATTCCTGCACGCCCTCTTTCTCCTTTTCCTTCCTATATTAAAGTGACTCTGTATTACATTGTTGAAGATTGATGGAAAAACAGCGTATTTTTTTAAAGCAAATGTTAGTTATTATATTCCTTCTACCGTACTAACCCTCTAAAATGCCAAAAATCCTGAAAAAAACTCTCAAATAAAGATATTTATGGTTTTCTCTGAAGGCGTCACTGTGCAACACCCACTAACAGTAAATTCTCCCAACCAAATTTTGAATTTTCCCACCCAATTTTCCATGAAAATAAGACACCAAACAGGCTTTAAACAATCGTTCCACATATTAATGTTTGGAATGGTACATTTGGAGAGCCAATTCATTGCTTTGTGACGGTTTATATTGACCTAAATTTAATTAATTTATAATAATATAGTTGGGAGAATTCAGGAATTGATCAGATCAGTTTATCTCTAATTGTACATCTAGCAGTGGAATCACTATGTTAGCACCATTTTATCTCATCTGCACAATGTTACCAAGTCCCTTTAACCACTTGACTGCGGACCACGTACAATGTATGTGTTCTCGCTCTCGCTTCCCTGTGCGTACCACGTACATCGAGCTCTTTCTGTGCGGCCCGCGGAGCTTTGAAAAAGTAATTATAAAAATAGCTCATAAATGCGGCCCGCATAGCAGCGATGAAATAGGGTAACACATTTACACACAGCTATCTCTATTTCCATAATTTGTTTTTATCATTCACAACTTATTAGGCGGTGTCACACAGAGGCCGAAAATCTGGATTTTAGTTATCCTCTTAATTGGCCGTCTGTCATCAATTATTCCTTAAAAAATCCTTTAAAAAATCCCTTAAAGTTGATATTCTAAGACAATCTCAAATATTGAGATAATTACATCAATATAAAGCTTTTAACCCCCAGAATAACACTAAATGGTGTCCAACTGACAAAAACAAGTTTAGAATGGTGAATTTATGCGAGCAAACTCTACCAAAATATCTAAGTCTGAAACCCGGAAGTGCATGTAGAGTCGGGCCTCTATCCATGACGTCACGAACGGGACTCAGGGCTCAGTGAGAGTGAATGGCAGTGATATCCCTACGTAAATGCAATCCTGTCAGAGCTTAGATTTGTTGTTGTTAATGAGTATATTTGATGGATTTTCTGTTTTCATTTGAATGAAGAATAACGAAGCAACATTTTCCAGTCTCTGATTTATTTTTATATCCTCATATTTACCTGTTTGGTAGAGATTTAAGACGAGTTTACTGCTTGGGAAACAGGGTTAAATCATGCACGTATGAATAGGTGGATGCATTATCTTGTCAACCTGGAGCAGTTTTGTAAAAACGAATAGGCCTAGAACTATGATAGTACTTATCATAGAGGCTGTTCACACCTGCAGAGATAGCGCGGTCTAGCGCGCGCTAGACCGCGCTATCTCTGCGGTGTGGAAGGTACAACGTCGTTTCGGTCCGCCCAACAGCGAGCCACGGTGAGCCAAAACGGCGTGCCACTGGAGCACCTCTTGGGGGCGGTACACGAGAAATAGCGCGGTCTTAGCGCGCGCTAGACCGCCCTATCTCTGCCGGTGTGAACCCGAGCTACGATAGCACGCCGGAAGTCATTGTTCTACACGCGGGGAATTTTATACTCATTCTATTTTGGTGCGATCTGAATCTGAATCGGTACAACTCACTGTCACCCCTTGCGGTGTGAACATGCCCATAGATGTGTGTAACTGCCTCGAAAAAGGATACTGTACCAGTTTAACATTTTATGTTGTAAAATATCAAACTTGAACGAGATCATGCAAGCGCGCTTCCTCTATCGTAGCGCGACCCACAGTCCGCCCATTGGCATTCGCCGGATCCACACCGCAGTGAGATAGCGCGGTCTATCGTAGCACCCCCTTTTTTGAGAGGTCCTGTTGCCATGACGTCATGAGGTCAGAGCGGTCAAAGATTTTGCGCGCTATTACGAACTAGGAGTGTTGAGTTGTACCGATTCAGATTCAGATTGCACCAAAATAGAATGAGTATAAAATTCCCTGCGTGTAGAACGATGACTTCCGGCGTGCTATCGTAGCTCGGGTTTACACCGGCAAAAATAGCGCGGTCTAGCAAGCGCTAGACCAAGAGGTAC